TGTCGCTCCGCACCGCAGGCCTGTGCTGCTCCTCTGTAAGAGCCTCTCCGGCTCCCGGAGCCTCCGGCTTCCCGGCAACAAGCAGTCGGGGTGGTGGCGGGAGGTGTTGGGGTGTTTTTAGGGTGAACTGTCTCTGTGTCCCGTCACCCGAACGTGTTTTCTTGCTCCTTACACAGCAGAGGCAGGATTCGTCTCCCTGTCCCGGGGTTTGAGCAGCGAGTTGTCTCATGAAGTGTATTAAGAGTAGCCTGACAGAGTATCGTTTGCTGGTCAGCTGTAAGGACCAGCCCTTCCCTTCTGACTTGCCGTGGGGCCACGCAGAGCTACGCCAGCGCACCCGAAGGGCTGAGCAGAGCAGGGGGCAGAGCTGGGTGGATGTTTCTAGTACCAGCATTGCCACGGGGTGCTTCTTGTTGTGGGCGTGCCACGACATCAGTAATGGAAATCAACTCTTTTTTTCATGTGGCATAGAAGGAATTTGTGTGTGATTTAATCCAAATCTGTATTTTTGCTGCCTACTGTTAAAGCATTTGATTTGGATAATTGGTTGTGGTGACTCACATGTAGGAGCAGATTCAAAGAAATCAACGTTCATTTACTTAATGTGTTTGTCAGTAGCCTGCAGCGTTCATGGTCTGATTCATGATGTGTCTCTGCAGTAGAGACGATAATCTCTATAAGAGTGTTGGGGTAGAAAGCTGAAAATGATAATTTCTTTAACGAGTCCAGCTGAATCTAGCACAAACGAATCTGTGCCCTAATATAGGGCTCCTAGTACAAGACAGAGAGAAGCTGAAATTAGTGGATTTCTCATCTGCTGCTCTTGTAGCTCAGCTTAATGCCTCTTCTGTTTCCAGGTCATTAAATATTTCTGCCTCTGTGTCCCAGGCACATTTCCCAAAGCTTTAGGGAGTGGATATCATACAGGGAGAGAATAAACACGTACTAATGATATACTTTTCCACATGACTAAAGGAAAAAACATGCATACAGGACTGAAAAAAAACATCCTGCTTTTACAGCGGCAAATGTATCATGACCCTAAACAGGATTTGAGGTAGGTGGTCAACTGAAACATATGATCTCAGTGCAACATTAATTCAGAGGTCCAAAATACGTCTGAAATTAATAAACGGGCTGATTCTGGAACATTATGTCTATCTCTGATCTTAGCAAGTTAGAAAGTTCTCTGATAAGTTGAGGTTCAGTGACCAATCACAGGCATGGTTAAAGGACAGGAAACTATACATTTTCATTGGCTTAGTAAAGCTGGTTTTGCTGGTGAGCTTCACAAAAAGGACACGGGGGCCAGGGGCGGGGGGGGGTAATTCCATCACAATCTGCAGATACTTATGAGGTAGAAAGCTTTTTCTGTTTTGTAATGGGGACTTAGAAAATGAAGAAGGAGGAGATCCAAAGAGTTTCTGTGATTGAAATTTAGAATTGGTGTTATTTAGTCTGCTCAGAAATGATATTTAACCCGTAAATAGCCACTGGAACAATTGGATGCAGTGAATTCTTCCCTAATGTAAAGGACCTAGTTGAGGTGGTATTTCCCACTGCCTCACAAAGGGTTGTTTGCTTTTAAACAGAGTAAATTTAAGGACCTCTTATAGGAACAGGGAGACATCGTAAATACATTACCAGCTCCTCTTCTGAAAATCAGTAGTGCTACACTGATTTGTGGAAGAAAAATAGAGATTTAATTTCCTGCTTGTATAGTCTGTGGAAGTCATCAGTGTCTGTTCAATAGTAGGAAGACTGTTCTGCTTAGTAGTAGTACATTTCCATAATCCTCTCCTTGAATCTGTCTCACGTACTCACTTTGGGAGACTTTGGAGCTTAAATACAAGATGTTTAAAGAATATTGTGGTAAACAGTGGCATAGCCTAGAAGCAGCAGGCTTTGAAATCATTATTCTTTTATGTGGCCATTAGAAGATATTTTTTTTAGAATTTGCCGTCCTCTCAGAGAAGAAAGAATGCATATTCCCTGCAGGACTGGTAGTGTGGTACTGGGCTAAGTGGCCTCAAGGTAATACAATGGCTAATTTGTTGTTCTTTTTTGTTTGTTTGTTTTAAGAGGTGGCTTTTCTGTGTTGGGATTTGAGGCTGGTCATACATGGTTTGGACTGGCTTGCATTATAGCTACTTCTTTCGCTGTACTTTTACGAGTGAGTGCATTGCTTCAGTTTTCAGGGACACTCTGTCTTTCATCAGCAAAAAAAATCATGTATGACTTCAAACTAAATTGCAGTCTTAGCTAATAGAGGCATTTGATGACCTTGGGAAAAAAATACATTTCTGACTTTGCTGAACACTTTAATCAGAAACATTTTAAATACACATTTTTCCCTTGTTTCTTAATAGGAATATTTGCAAGATCTTTGCTTCTTCATCACCAGAAGTTCCAGTTAGTTCTTGTGGAGATGGCTGGGAAAGCCTCAAAAAGAGGATTATGAGGTGGGAGGGGGACGTGAGGAGAGATGCACATGAGGTGGCAGTTTTCAGCAGCAGTGATTTGAGAGAGATTGCTGATGGCCTTCTTCCTCCACGCTGGAAGAAGCAGGATGAAAGGTGTAAGGACTTGTGCTACTTCTGCATAATACAGAGAGATCTCCTGAAGTCTAGTGACTGGTTTATTTCCTCCTGCTGCCCAAGATGGACCTGCTGTAAGCTTCATGTTCACTTGAATTGGAGAAATACTGGTTAATTGTTTTTGCAACATTCCTGCGTTTGGTGTTGTCAGGATTTGATGCTGTCTTGTGTTCTAGGAGGATGGTGGCTCAACAAACAATTCTGTTGTCACAAATGCATAAATAGGTCAGCAAGAAATGTAACAAAGGCACTCTGATACTACAGAAACAATAAGCAGCAGGGTCAATAGAGTGTCTTGGGAAGAAATGTCTTCTGTTGAGGCAAACGTCATCTGGAGAATTAAAGTGTTCTAAACAGAGAAATGCCTTTTAAATAGATTTTCTGTGATGCTGTCGCAGGTCTTTGAAGATTGAAGATCATTGGCTAATGTGTTTTATTAATGTTCCTCAGTGTTTCAGAGAAACATCTGTCTTGTGATTTGACCAAAAATTTGTATAAATTTTGATTGCTTGATCTGAAGGAGGGTTTTATCAGCACAAATGGTGGTACCTAGTCTTTTCACAGCACAGCAGCCTCTGGATCATGATGGTTTTAGACTTGTGTGCTGTCATTCTTCTGCATTTTCTACTGGGCAATCAAAGCACTGTATTTCAGTCTCTAACAGATTTAGATGAAGTAGATCCCACCTTTAATATTCTGTTGTACCCCTGTACTGGAGTTCACTGTCTCCGTTTCAGGTCTGGCTCATTACATTGAGCCTCTGGAACCCAGTTTTATAACCCAAAGAGAGAAACACATGTATTGTTCCAGTTGTCCCTGCTGTTGGACAGTAACTTCTGGCAGTGGTGAATGTGTAAACCAGTTCAGCCAGTGCAGCAAAATCTGCAAGTGGTCTATGAGCTGAAGCATTTTGTTACTCAGTCTCTTCCTCAGCATGGACTAATAAAAAGAAGCAATTCCGCAAGCAATGAGACTACTCGGTCTTGGTCCAGTTTTTTTAATCTCTTTGTTGGTTGTGAGATTAAACCAGTGCTGTGTTATCTTTCTACACTTGTAGGCAGATTTCTGCCTTTCTATGACTGCTGTATTTTGGGGGACAAAAGAGTGACTAGTGCAAGGGCAAAGCTGAAAGAACTGAGGAAAATGTAGGGTAAATTTGTTTCTTTTAAGAAAGCACTACAATCTTGTGTACAAACACAGAGTGGATTTCTTTCTTTGCAATTCTTACCTGGAGGAGAAAAAAACACTTTTGTTTCCAGTCTTTGTATTTATCCATATTTTGTCAATTTGACCAGTTAAATTATACATACAAGCTTTTCTGTATGGCAATGTAGAGACAAAAGTTGTATTCTAAATTTAGATATATTTGGAGCATTGTTCTTTATATTTTTTAAAGGGTATTATCAATTCTGAATTAAGAAAAAAGTTATTAAAAATCTTTTCATTATTTTGTATGATGGAGGTGTATTTAAGGAAATGATCAAGAAGGCAGATTGAAAACTGCTAAGACACACTGGAGTAATACAGTTAGTAACAGGAGGATCTTTAATTGGATCATAACTTGTTTGTCCTGATCTACTAGATTGGTGGCAAGCTTTTCTTACTCTGAGTAACTCCCTCTGACCTCATCTGCAGTCTCGGAGCAAGTCATCCTGTTGATATTGTGCTCTTCTTTCTGTGGGGATTCTGACTGTGAAATAAGTTGTTTCCTTCATTTAACTGTGGCAATCAAATTAGAGGTAAATGATTTGAAAACGATTCCAGCAAGTGCTTCCTGATGACAGTGTTGTAGCATTTCATGCTTCTGTTGCTGGTATCAACAACAGGCCTAGAGGTACTGGCAGTCCTGCAGGCAAGTGCCTCCAGGCAGCATACTCCCACCAGGATTTTACATCAATGTGGCTAGAGAAAGAGAGGAAAGTAAAACCAAGTGGAGGATTCTTACACTTCAGTATGCTGTGACCCTGCTGGATCCTGCCACCCCTTGTTGCTCTGGGTACTGTGTGCCCTAGAGGATCAGCAGTTTCAACAAGTTCAGTTGCTTTCCTGGAACTCTATGAAGATACTGCTCCAAAGTGATGCTGATGGGATGATGCCACGTGCCTGCTCACATGTCTGTACTTGAAGGAACAACAAAGGCCTGTTGTCAGTAGGCCTCGCTCCCAGCAGTTGCTCTGGTCACCAGCTGGGCAATTATGTATTGATAGACGATGTTAAAATACATCTCTGGAGTTGGGTTAAAGTTTAATTAACTAAACCGTTGAAGATCGTTCAAATATCTCCCCAATTTTATGGGAGCAGTTTCAGACAGACTTCCTTGTGTCCTAATGAGTTTTCCATACCAAAGGTCCATAGCTTAGTATCTCTGGGTAGGTAAGATCTTATTGGTCAGTGGAGTGCTAGGTAGTTCTTGTAATCACAAGTACACACAGAATTTGTACAGCGTGAAATGTCTTCCCAAAAATGCCAACTTTATATCCCTATATTTATATCCCTAAGTTTCAGGTTACTTAATGTGTATGGAAATTGTAACCCCGTAAAACTCGGGGCAATACTGAAATTGCTATAGTGCACTTATTTTCTGTTGCTGTATTTTTAAATTTTATTTCAACTTCAATAAAATGGTATTGTGTGTTTTATAACTTAGTTGGTTTTCCTTTCATCGGTTGTCATCTTGCCCACTTCCAAATGAAGGAAAGAACAGAGGTGTTTGGGGATGCTGGGTAGGAGGACTGAAACGTGGGCAAACAAGTGGCAGATTCTTTTTTTCTTTTGGGTTTAGTTATGTTAGGAAGATAAATCACTAACCATTACGTTTTCTGGCTTGGGTGCCATCATGAGAACCTGATGGGGAATTAAAGAAAGACATTGCTAGCAGAGAACTGAAAGTGCTGCACAGAAATAAGCATTTCCTACATCTGCTGCTGTAGAGTCCACCAGATATGGCAGTGTGAATTCCAGATTTGCAAGAATACTGCTGATTTTCCATGTCTTCAGCTTTGTAGAGAGGATTACTTGATGAAATTTTGGGCCTCTCAGTGTTAAGAAGGGAAACTTGGGGGGGACTTGGAGGTGAGCTCTAACTTCTAATTTGTGGGAGGAAATTCAAGTTCCACCTTCTCACTTGTATCACTAGCAGAGTTCCCTTTACTCAGAGGGCTTCAGCGTTCTTCAAGATTTTATTCTAGCTATGTTTTACCAGACGTAGTGTTGTTCAGTTCTTACTGCTGCCACCCGGAAACACTTTGATTTGTTCATATGGGATATAGCAGAGTCAGAGCCTGAGACAGTCTCAAATTTAGGTGAACGTCATCAGCACTGGACCATGTGCTTATCCAGTGCAATCCCAGAAGGAGTCTTTGCTGCCTCACCAGCTGGCTGTCACACATTCCTGAGAACTTAGGCTTCTCTGAGAGGATTTTTGCCTTAGTGAAGGACCTCTGATTATAGGCTTATTTTTGGACTGTAAATGAATTACCCACATGTTCTAAAATACTGTGGCAGCTTGTTGGGTGATAACCCAATGCACATGGTTTGTTCTTGTGAATCTTCCACGTGCAGGATGATGTATCCTCAGAAGACAGCTGTTTATTTGCTAAGATCTCTGCATTATCTTAAAGGTGGAAGGGTGATCCTGAACCTGATCCTCTCTTCAGGTAAAGCTCCAATGTAGGTAACTGAAGAAGGACAGATCATGGTGTTCACGTGCCCTTAAATGGGACTGTAGAGTATCTTAGGTAAATGAGAAGACAGATGGATAGGCCCATGCAAATGTAATGCAGGATACTGTGGAACAGCAGTGGGAGGACTCAGCTGAAACATGACTTGCTTAAGCTAGGGATGCTTCAGCAAAAACTCTAGCAATATAGTCCTTTCAGGAGTAGTTGTGTTGCTTTTCAGGAAGGCTGTTTTAAGGACGTGTTTTACGTTATATGGGAGAAATTCTGGTTTTGGTTGTTACCTCAGCATCTACTGATTCCTGCCTTTGGCACTAAGTTTGCTTAAAAATGAAGCGTTGCAGCCTATGAAGAGCTAATTTATATACATTTAATAAAGGAGGTCCCTCTTGAAATTGTGTGGCATGCAGAAGATCAGAGGAGATCATCAGGTAGTCCCTTTTGTTCTTTAATGTGTCAATTCTAGGATACAAAGAGATGACATGGAAGAGAAGCAAAGGAATTCAGACTAAAAAAAGAAAACCATGAAATCTAAAGATACACAATAAAGTCTCTTGTGCCAATGTAGACTTGCCTGTCATGATCTCTGAGGAGCAATGACTGGAGATACTTTTGTGGAATTCACTTTTTATCTGCTTTATCAGGCAAACCACCAGCACGTCTCATCATGCTCTTGGCTTCAAATGGACAGTGGTATAAAGGGTTGTATGTTCAGTGTTTTGAAGTTAACTGCATTGAGACAATGGGTGGATTTACCCTCTGAAGGATGGAAGATGTGGCCATGAGAGGGGCAGAAGGCAGTGCAAAAGGGTGGTATTGAAGCCTCTGAGTGCCCACAGTAATTAAGCCATGTGGGGACTTTTTATTATCCAGTGACTGAATATTCCTCAGAAAGTCCCCTTTCATGCTGTAACAAACCAAGTGGTCAAGCAATGGAAGATGTTACACTGAATCTCTGTTCATATTGGATTCCCTGCCTGAGAATGAATGGTTAGAGGCAGGTCGAAAATCAGACATGCTCTCTATAGTGGGATATAGACTTGTTGGGGAACCTTGCAGGTGGTGATTGCTACATATAGCTTATAACTGATTTTAATTTTTTTAAATTTTCATCTTTTAATACTAATTTACATTTTTACTGCTACTAGAAGACGATGATTTTCTTGTAGTTCCCGTGGCATTTCATTTTCTTTCTGTTGAAGCAAAAGAAACAGTTCTAGACCCAGCATAGGAGCAGGAGAATAGAAACTTCACTTTTCTTCAGTACCTGGATTCATTGTAAGTGGGATACTTGGTTTTGTGCATCTTTTATTTTGGAAATAAGTAGGATAAGCCTTTGTTCTTAAACCATTTTTTTTTTCCTGTTTGGGCTAAGTACGTGCCTTCTCATGCATTTGTACACACCCAGCAAGTGCCTTCTGAGGTGTAACTCTTACACCTGCTTTCCTAACTAGCAAATGCTGCATAACAAAGCAGGAGACTTCAAGGATTCTTCAGTTCTTCAGCTTCCTGTTTTGGGGTTTTTTTGTTACTACTGTAGGTATCACAGTGCATGATGATGTCACGCAGAATAAATCGCTTGAGTCAGTTTTAACTGATACGTACAAGCTTTTGAAATGGTGTGTTTTTCTTTCATGGCAAGAGCACAATTATATTGGTATTTTCGTAATTCTGTTTCAGATGAGAAGAAGCAGATGGTTGCAAATGTTGAGAAACAGCTCGAAGAAGCAAGAGAACTGGTACGTTCTGGCTTTTCGTATGTTGACTGCGAATTTTGTAGGGAA